ACGATGGATGGATTTGGCCAAGAGTGACGTCATACCTTTTGCAAAAGGCGACGATGATTGGGTCTAAGGGACCTATCGTGAAGGGGTAAGTGTAGACACTTAGGTACCCCTACATATGAGTCGTGATGGATTCCTCAAGGGTAGGAACTACTACATCTTTGCCTACCTAGTTTCACTCCTCTTTCACCTTCTCGAGGAGATCTTTGGTAATCGTACATATGTACTTCGACATCGGTTTGCATCGACCCGGTGTCGAGGGTGTATTCTCCACCTTCAAGTGGCGCACTTTGTTGGAACGAAGTTCTTAAGAGGATGCTCCGTCGCGGCTACGGTGCCGACGGACTTTGACGAGGAAGCGGTTTCCTTATGTGGAACAATCGTTGAGGTTTTAGCGTAGATGGTGAAGAATGAAACGGAGGAAGAAGGCTTGGTGTCTTGTGATGGAACAAGTATGGAAATTCAGAGATCTGAAAATATAGAGCTTTGAAGAAGGCAAAGATTTTTGGAAATTAGAGGGAAGAAGATTTGTAACTAAAGTTTGAAAGATGAAGAAAGATGCATTTATAGGTTGAAGACGACGGTTCAGTGCCGGTGGTGGCTGGCCGTCGACTAACAAGCATTAAATGCCTAGAGAACTGTAGCGACGAGACGTTTCAGTCACCTCCGCCGTTTATGTCACGATACTTACGTCATGATAAACTGAGAGGAAGTTCGAAGACTCAATTCGTTTCTTATCATTGCACTCCATTAGACCGTAGCAAGAAAGAGATGGAGCGAGATCGAAGGAAGCCTTCTAGGTCGAATAACAAAAAGCCGAGATATCCATGATCGGGCAAGGATCGTGGCGAAAATCTCGGAACGAATCGAGTCAGGACCGGTTATTTAGCCTATCATGGGATTTGCTTCTGTAATTAGAATTATACCATAAATAATATTCCTCTACAATATAAAGAGGGTCCTAATCATTTTGTTGGCATCACACATTCACGCATAATCAAGCAATATATTACATCTTTCTCTCTTAAGCTCTCTTAAGCTCTGCTGTTCAGTTCATACTTTTTCAATAGCATACTCAGTTGGTTCAAGGGCGATTTAGCTCGAGGGCCACCGTTGTTCATCACATTGGTTTGCTTTATTTTATTGTTAATTTCTAGCATTAATTCTCATATTTATCAGTTTGTGCCAAGTGAAATCATATATCCTTAAAACTACTTATAAGTTTGGTTGTTATCCAATTTTAAGGGTAAACAATTATACTTTTCAACATTTTTATATCCCCTTTTACACTCTAATTATAAAAAACTTCTAATTTGTGATAAAACAATAAAAGAAGAAGAAGAGTATTGCAGAGAAAAGTAGAGGGAGAGAATTCTTATTGATTTTGGGATTAGTTACAATGGAATAGAACCCTCTATTTATAGGGAGATGGTGACTTAGCCACCAAGTAATAAACCCTAGAATCTCTCTAAATATAGACATTCACCATAAATAAACTTCTATTTATAACACTCCCCCTTGAATGTCTATTCAATAGATAATGTGCCTCGTTAAAACCTTAACTAAAAGAAAACCCAATGGGAAAAAAATTTCTAGAAAAGGAAAAAGAGTACAGATGTTTAGAAATGCGCCTATTAGTTGCCTCGTTAAAAACCATGCAAGAAAAACCCAGCGAGACAAAACCTTGTAAGAGAAAAAGAGTGCAACGCGCATTAACTCCCCCTGATGAGAGCATCAATTCACATCCTTGAGCCTTCGCATCCCGATCTTGTGCACCATCTTCAAAAGATCTTTGGTAGATATTTGATAAATAAATCAGCCATATCAACTTGAATGAATATATTGCACCTTGAAATCATCATTCTTGATAGAGATGGATTGTCTTCATATGATCTTGTTGGAATCGTCAGTTCAATATCTTCACATAGAGGTGAAAACTTTTGCTATCATACTATCATGTATATAGTTATAGCAAGATACATTTGTGCACAAATTGCATTGAGGATGTAGTACTTCATGACCATGAATTCTATATGCTTTAAGCAATTTAAATCCTTCAAGGATTTTTAAGTCATATAAGCCATATAATAGACTTTAGATGCATATCAAGTTTTCATGTCATGCTAGATATATAAGATATCGAAAACTGATTGCACATACCATTTGACTTTATACTTTCAAGTGTTTGAACTACATGCATGTTCAAAACTACATGTCTTTCATATGAAACCAATTCTATTCGAAATTGTTTCACCAGACTTAAGATCCTCATATATATTTAGTGTTATTATCGATGTCGTCGACAAACATTTTATATCGGTTCCAACCTCCTTATTTTCATATAGACATAACATAGAGACCTCTTCATTCATATATTCAGGTACCTGAATCTCTCATGAGATTTTATGAAGTGTTATGTCATGTGATCTTCTAGATCACTTGCCTCCTTTATTATGATCATTTTGATCATTTGCTCATCTTCTTTATCAAGAAGTTTATTTGAAACCGATTTGTCTATATGCTTTAAGCATACCATAGACGTTGTCCTTCTAGGACTTAATAAGAGCATTTGCAATGAGAATATAGTTACTTTCTTTGGGTCAGCAAATGCGTCTGGCATGCTTTGCAATATATTGCAAATGAACTATCTTTTTATGAACTTCAAGTTCATATTATCTTATTCGAGGATCTAGATGTACAAATGATAATTCATTCCACGTAACTTTTTCTTAACTGTTTATCATGTCTCCCCCTCATGTTAGAAAAACTAACTTGTTTCCTCAACTTTGAGAACCCATCTTTGTGCGTTATGATGTTAGTCAAAATATACACCGTACATCAATTATAATAAGATGGAATTATTTGGTTCCTGACCCTGAACCACTTGTGAGGGGAGAATGTAATATACTTTCGTATATAACCTATATCAAACTGATATAGATAACTTTGTTCTCATTAGCAATAGTTTAGCTATTAAGTAGAGACACTTAATAAATTATTTTGCTAAACCAACTGTGATGTAAACCAACTTATCAAGATGAACTTCTTGAATAGCAAATGTGGAAATTATGCTCGAAATTAAATTACTGATCAAGTTACCTCGCAAACACCGGCCAGGTTGCGGGTTAATAATAATCGCACATGTAACCATCTCATAGATGCATCTTATGTGGTATACATGGCAGGTGAATGGGCCCATATTCACCTTTGATATTTCCAGCATTCATGGGATTCAATCCCAATTTTAATTGGTCTATTAATTAATTAATGAGAACAAGCAATGTAAGAGAATTCGTAAAGAACTTTCTAGTTCTTTAATATTTACTCATGTGAATTCTCTTTCATTTTTGCACATCATACTTGAATTAACATGGCTAAACCAATTATGCCAACTGGATAAATTATCAATATTGATAAACTTCAGGTTTACACTATGATGTGTGCAATTATGAATAAACTCCAAGTTTATTATGATATGGGTTTTTATATCAATAAATATCCACTTCATTATGGTATTCTTTTGTTTATGTAGTACAAATTGGAGAATAAAGTGGGTAGCTTTTCACATATATATTACCCCGCTACAAGTTGTAGTAATAGAAGATATTAAATCTTTCCTTTATTTATAGTCTCAATATAATCAACCGCTTTCGCGTATACTTTGGAAACTGAATAAGTTTCTTTGAGACTTACTACAACACAATACTTTATTGGTAATTAATTGTGTTTCTCCAAAATAGTATAATTGGCTCTTGCAGAGTTCTCAATTAATTTTGTAGTATCACATATTCATCAACACCTATATGGTGAATATCTCTTTTAAAGAGAAAGTTATACCATTATGGTTATGGTCAAAATTATATGCAAGATCTGTTTCTTGCATTACCGTTGTCTTTTAACAATCACAATGCCAAAATATTTTGGCGTACAATAGGTACGTGACCAATGACCATTCATGCCATAATAATGATATTATTTTCTTATATCATCTCAAACCTCCTTTTAGAGGTGAGTGCAGTATATTCACTACCACTAGCACGTTCATATTCTTTGAAGAATGAGTATGTATTCATAAATCAGATGTTGTCACATTCACATCATGAATGGACCATAATCATCTATATGTGCTTTACCAAATCTCATGTCAAATCGATGACAAATATTTTTCACAGAGTGAAAGATTATTTTGAGAATCCTTATTGTTCTCATTACCACAAATGATGACGATTATAATTTCGTCTATTGCCTCGTCCACATCAATTGATACATTCATAGTGATAGTTGTGTCTTCTTTCAGACTTATCACATACTGCTATCACATTCTCTTAAGGGAATGAGAATGGAGCAAATTTAATGGGACGGGTTTCCACTTTTTGTGCTCATAATCATACATGAATTTGATCATGGCAAGACATAGAAATTTTTACTACTTCAGGTGGTTATAATTTCTTACAAACTCCATTAGAGCTATAATCAAACTTTGTTGTCTTTGCTTGTATATAAAATCAAATTATAGAATTTCAAGAATTTAAAAGAGAAAAATAAAGTAAAATACTTACCTTAAATCCAGAATTTAATCATGAATGAAGTTCATGGAATAATTGACAATCATTATGTTTAATCTCAAAGCTTCTACTCAATTGGTTAGAGTCTCGTGCTGATAACGTGTTATAAAACAATAAAAGAAGAAGAAGAGTATTGCAGAGAAAAGTAGAGGGAGAGAATTCTTATTGATTTTGGAATTAGTTACAATGGAATAGAACCCTCTATTTATAGGGAGATGGTGACTTAGCCACCAAGTAATAAACCCTAGAATCTCTCTAAATATAAACATTCAGCATAAATAAAATTCTATTTATAACATAATTCGCTTTATTAACTTGTGAAGTTGCGAATCAATTGGAAATTTAATTCAATTGACTGAAAAGAAGGATATTCCTTCCTGGAAAGAACAGATAATATAATAGGAAAAAAATGTCTATATAGCAATTTGCCGTTATAAATGGCGCGACATCTTATCGTCTCCTTTTCCATATCAAATCCAATACGTCTTTCCCTTCTCAGTTCTTTTATCTCGGCTCCTTCTAATGGAGTCTCTTTCGGTAGGCATTTTAACTTCTTTACCTCTCCAAAATCACTTCAATACCAACAAATCCTCCCCAAAATCCCCATTTCCCAACTCTTCTCCCACTTTCATCTGCAATTCACTCCAACTCAATTCCCCTAAAACCAGAAAAATCCCTCCCCTTTTACAAACAGAAGCCCCAATTCATCATTCTACAAAATCCCAACAAATCTTTCCAAAATTCCATCTCTCTTTCCTTTCTTTGGGTCTCTCTTTTCCTCTTACAACCCTTGCCGCTGAAACTGCTGTGCCCACTGAAGAAATTCCCTTTAAAATCAACTTAGAAGCAATCTTGGTCTCTATTGATGAATTTTTCACTAGGTATCCATTTTTTGTTGCTGGGGTTACCTTTATCTGGCTCGTTGTGATCCCATTAGCTGAAGAGTATTTCCAAAAGTATAAGTTCATCTCCGCCGTTGATGCTTTTGGGAAGCTCCGTGATGACCCCAGTTCGCTGCTGTTAGATGTTCGGGATAAGAAGAGCTTGGCTTATTTGCCTTCGCCCAATTTGAGAATGTTGAATAAGAGTGTGGTGCAGGTTGAGTTCCGTGAAGGAGATGAAGATGCCTTTGTTAAGAGGGTGTTTGAGAATTTCAAGCAGCCAGAGAATACTACTGTTTGTGTTTTAGACAAGTAAGTCTTGTCAACAATATGTTTAATACATTTCTTAGTACCTAGCGTACCAATATATGTGAGAATTTTGCATTTCGGCTTTTGATGCTTCATTATATTTTGTTTTTTGGTTTCCCCGAGATTAGTCGGGTCTTTTAGAGACTCGGACACCCGGAGCAAATCAAAATATATATATATATATATATATATATATATATTGGTTTAATAAGATAGAGCAATTTCTTTGATGTGGTTCCTGTATGAGTCATATACTATGGTCTGCTCAAACCTGCAAGACTTCACAGATAGTGTTAGAAAATTTGGGAGAGCAAGACAACACAAAAGAACGTTCAAAACTCACAGATCAACTTGACTTGCTTCAAATGGCTAGGAATGGATGACTATTTACAAGGAAAATCCTTCATGTATCTAGCCTAGAGTACATGTAAACACACTAATCATGTTCACACTTCACATATTCCAAAGTACATCAATGTGTTTGTACTCTAATAAATGTACTAACTTAATATTCTAGTTCATGAACTAATGTAGACTAATGTAAACAAATGTGAACAAATGAAAAACAAGTTTATTATTTTCACATTTCAACATCCCCTTAAACTTGTTTCATCACTCCAAGAGCCTTCCTTAGCTTTTGAATTCAATGGCTTGATGAAAATATCTGCAATTCGGTCTTGTGGCTTCACGTGTTCAAGCTCCATAACTTTATTTTCATGGCCTTCAACCTTGTAGCCCAAAGGTTGATCAATTTAAACCTCTTCCTCCAAAACACCATTCAAGAAAGCCGACTTCACATCCATTTGATGAATTTTCCATTGATTTTGAGCTGCCAAAGAAATAATAAAACGAATTGTTTCCAAACGAGCAACCGATGCAAATACCTCATCATGGTCAATACCGGCCTTTTGCTTGTATCCCTTGGCAACCAATCTTGCTTTGTACCTTTCCACCTTACCCTTGAATTTTTTTTTAATCTTGTAAAGCCATTTGACACCAATGGTGTTTTTGCCTTTTCGAAGTGTGGCTAATTCCCAAGTGTCATTCTTGTTGATTGCCTTGATTTTTTCATCCATGGCATCTCTCCATTTGGCATTTTGGGCAGCATCTTCATAAGTTAAAGGCTCACTATCCACCAACAAACAAAAGTGAGTCAAATCATATAAATCTTTTCTTACCACTTCCGTATTTTCATACAACTCATGAAGACTTTTAGTTTTCTTAGGCACTTCACTTGAAGAACTTGAACTTGACTCATCTTCTTCTTGAACTTGGGCCGGAGGTGTTGAAGGTGGCGTGATAGGCTGCTTCGCAACTTCTTTATCATCATCTTCATCAAAGAAAGGACTAAAAGAGCAATCTTGCTATTTAGTGTTCCATTCTCAAGCATTATCTTCATCAAACTCAACATCTCTGCTTATGGTGGCCTTGTCATTTCTTGGGTTATATAATTTATAACCTTTAGAACTTTGATCATAGCCAATGAAAACATACCTCTTGCGTTTATCGTCAAGCTTGGACCTCTTCTCATCCGGCACATGTGCATATGCAATGCTCCCAAATACTCGCAAATGAGCAACTTTTGGCTTGAAACCACTCCAAGCCTCTTGAGCTGTTTTGTCACGGATACTCTTGGCGTGATATAGTATTGCTCAGTGCTTATGCAATCCTATTTGTAGAGATAGAGAAGGGGAGAGAGGAAGAATTCACATAGTATCACTGTTCCTAGATTCAAGCCGTGGTTCCCAAGGTTTTACTCTTCTCTTCGACTTCTAGACTATCCCATTAAGGGTGTATATTATGGACATTTATTCCTCTAGGGACATAGTTATCTTCCTGAGCTGAGGGTTTACCGAAAACAACCTCTCTGCCTAAGGACCGCGTACACTCTACCCTCCCAAAACCCTTTGAATTCATTTGAAGTGAATTCTCCACCATTATCAGACCGCAATGACTTAACTTGATAGCTACTTTGTTTCTCCATCATGCTTTTGAATTTTTTGAAAGTATCAAAAACCTCCGATTCACTTTCAAAAAATACACCTAAGTTTTCCTAGACATCAATGAAAAGTAAAAAATAATTACTTTTACCACGTGAAAATGGCTTTATTGGTCCGCACACATCTATGTGAATAACTCCAATGGGCATCGGGCTCTAGGCAAAGACTCTTTAGGAAAGCTTTTTCTTGCTTGCTTTCCAAAGAGACATCCTCCGCAAAGTTCTCGGATGATCAATAGTTGGCAATCCATCCACCAAGCTTTCTTTCTTCATCAACCTTAGACTATCAAAATTCACATGACCAAATCTCATATGCCAAAGCCAAGGTGAATCTTTGGTACATGAAAGCAAATACCTTGGAACATCACATTGAAGGTCCAAAACAAATATTTTATTATTAGCCATAGGAACTTTGGCTAACTATCTCCCATTTTCATCTCTCAAGAACAACTTTTTATCTTTCAAATGAATATCATAATTTTCTCCAAAAGTTGTCCCAAACTTAAAATATTACTTTTCATCTCGGGTACATACAAAATATTAGAAATTAATTGGTGACTACCATCTTTTCAAGCAAATTAAAATCGTACATTTTCCTTTAATTTTAACCCGCGAATCCAAAAGTGATGTTGCCACCATTCAATTCTTTGAGCTCCACAAATAAATTTTTCTTTCCACAAATATGACTACTTGCACCAGAGTCAAGGTACCATTGATTTCTCTCTACACTTTTTTCTCTTTTGCGAGTGAGAACTAAAATACCATCTCCATCTTCATTTTTGCTCTCCATAAAATAATTTTTTTCTTCCACATTATTTTTAGATTCCGAGGAAAAATGACCAAATTCATGACAAGTATAACATTCAATATTAGACTTATAATACCTTCCTTGATTTGCCTCCGTCCTCTACCTCTTCCACGACGTCTTCCTTGATTAGAGTCTTGGCTCCTATTTTCTTATATGGTGGTTGGCTACCACCTCTTCCTTTTTTACCACGACCTTGTCCACGTCCACGACCTCTTTGTTGCGAGCCACGCCATTCATCTTTCTCCTTGAAAGAAAGTTTTGCTTGCAACGCTTGTTCAACCGATTCTTCTTTCGGTTTCTTCTAATTTAGGCACATCCCTGCCTAACCAAAGCTTCCCAAAAGTCATTTTATATCTGTTGAGCTTAGATTTCCACTAACTTTTCTTCATGTGCTTGCAAAGAACTCGTGAGTTCTTCGATGTTCATGGTATCCAAATCTTTGGACTCTTCAATAGCCACAACAACATAATTAAATTTTGAATCAAAGGATCGTAGTATTTTTCCAATGACCCTATCATCACTCAAGTCTTCACCATATCTCTTCATTTGATTGACAATAGCCAAAACTCTTGAAATATAATCCGAAACGGATTAGGATTCCTTCATATGCAATGATTCAAACTCTCCTCTTAAGGTTTGGAGATGAACTCTTTTCACTTTATCCAAACCTTTAAAGGAGGTTTGAAGAATCTCCTATGCTTGCTTTGAGGTGGTTGCATTTGCAACCTTCTCAAACATCTTGTCATCCAAACTTTGATGGATGAGAGTGAGTGCCTTTTGATCTTTTTTTTTAAAGGCAGCATCATCTTCCGTTTCATCACCTCCGACTTCCACCGGTTCCCAAACATCATAGGCACCAAGCAAGGCCTTCATCCGGATACACCAATTTCCATAGTTCTCTTTTGTGAGCATAGGAACTTCAAATGGAGTTCCGTTACTATTTGTCATTTTCTCTCCAAGTTTGGTTCTCTCTCAAACACATCGGCTCTGATACCACAATGTTAGAAAATTTGGGAGAGCAAGACAACACAAAAGAACATTCAAAACTCACAAAGAAGAAAATGGAGGAAAGCATGATTTCAATTCAACTTGACTTGCCTCAGATGGCTAGGAATACATGACTATTTATAGGGAAAATTCTTCATGTATCTAGCCTAGAGTACATGTAAACATACTAATCATATCCACACTTCACATATTCCAAAATACATCAATGTGTGTTCATACTCTAATACATGTACTAATTTAATATTCTAGTTCATGAGCTGATGTAGACTAATGTAAACAAATGTGAACAAATGAAAAACAAGTTTATTATTTTCACATTTCAACAGATAGCAAGTACTGTTGCATAGTAGGGCAATTATCATACAGGTAAACATAAGTATTTCAGTGATGATAATGGAGATTGTTATGTATATTGTCTTTTGGTTATTCACTTGCATGATCAACAAGGCATGTTATAGACGCCAAACTGAGCTGGGTGTTTCCAATTTTGAGTCCTCCATTTCTAACTATTTACCTGTTTCTTCATCTGAGCATGAGTTTAAAGTGGAGCATTTGACCTGCCGATGATAAAAAATTTACCAGTCTCAGAATTGATTGACCTTTTCTATAAGCAGCTTTTTATTGTCGAAGTTTTCCCATGTAAATAGATATTAGCTGCTTTGGCACAATAAGATGTGGCAAGCTTTTGTGGCAATGTCTATTGGCTCCTTTGGGAAGAAAGATTGAAAAATTCTTAGTTTTCTATTTGTCTATAATTATTTCGGTGCTTCTATTTGGGATCAAACATCTTAAGTTCCATATATATGTGTGTGTGACTGTTTGCCTCTGGTAATATATGTGTATGTGTGCACATAGGGCGTGTAAGTAGGTGCTTCTTGTTTGTTGTTGTGTCATTTTAGGAGTATAGGCACGTATAGAGATTGGGAGGTAGTAGCTTTGTGTCCGCCATTATATAACTTGCAAACTTCTCTCGTGATCCTTCTTCCTCATTAAATCAAATAACTCTTTTAATTTATGAAAGTGCAATTGCTATTGTAAAGTAAGATCTTCTATAATGTCAACCTTCCATCACCTTTATGGTTGGTCCAGGGGTTATGGATAGATTTAGCTTAGGTGTTGCTTCCATGTGTCTCTTTGTGTCTGTTCTTCATGAGTATAGCAATTCGATTGTAATACTGAGGCAAGAAGGATGTTTGCACCTGTCCCCCTCTGGATGCCAGGAGGCTGTCAACACAGTCAGCTCACATGTGGATTCAGAAGGGGTGGAGTAGAGCTATGATTTGATGCTTCCTCATTGTCTAAGTAGTGGCAGGTGTAAATGCCCTTTTCCACTTTCATTTTATCCTTTTAAGTTACCTCACATTCTCATTATCATTGTCAAAAAAGTTAACTCACATTCTGTCTCTGATGATTTCTCTGGGCGATCATGAGGATTGCTTTGTAACCTATATGTCAACCCACTATAATGTCTTTTTAATCAGCCTTATAACTGGGTTTTACCGTCAGATAGCTGCTGCAAAGAAAAGGAGAGAATAGTTAAGTTTCCCATTTAATAAACATGTATTTGTTGAATATGTCTCCTCTCCTAGAGAGAGTTGGCTTTATGACCTCTGTCCGGTAAACACTTGATGTTTTTATAGATAGATAGCTATAATAGCAGATAGTGACATAGTAACATTCAACTGTTTGAGCGGTTTTAAGAGTTTGACGGATATCTTCTTTGATGTGGAAGGTAGTTTTGATGGAAACTCAATCAAAGTGGCTGAGCTATTGGTAAAAAATGGTCTTAAAGAGGCTTATGCTATCCGAGGTGGGATAAGAGGCAAGAACGGATGGCAGGTATTCTTCCTTTCTTCCAAGTAGATTGAGTTAGGCTGATAATCTCTTCATTCGTGTCCAACTGCATCTTCTTGCGTATGTATGTTTGCAAGTAGCTGTTTTTATATTCTTTCCGTAGAATTCTGTCACTCATAAATGATGAGAGATTCCAAGAGGCTTTGGGTCCTGATAACCTGCATCTTACCTTGTCTAATTGGCGACCTAATAGATTTGGCCTTAGGCACTTTAACTTTATGTTGCTGGTCTTTGGAATGAAATCAGAAGCTTGATGCTTAAGTTATCAGAAACTCTGCACAGAATTATTTCATCTTTTTCAGTTACGTTTATTTTTTCTTGTAGGAGATCCAAGAAACCCTTCTCCCTCCATCTGTTCATATCTATGCCAAGAAGGTTAAAGGAGTGCAACAGCAAGAGAGTAATGATGGGGTGATTCAAGCAAATGAAATTAATAGTCAATCTCCATCTGCTATAGGCGTGACCCAAGTTGAGCAGATAAGCAATGGCTCCATTAAGAAGTCTGTTGACTCAACCTCAGCGACAGAATGTGGTCCTAGATCATCATCCCCGTATCCAAATGTATGCTCTCTATCTCTCGTGCATGCACTCTCCCATATTGATTACACATCCATGAGCAAGTGTCTGAGATTGCAAATCTATTGAACTACTATCTTTAACCTCAAGAGTAGTCGAAGGGTGCCTGGGACAATTCTCAAATGCCACTTGCTGCTTCAGCATCCAAGTTGGCTGTCTCATAGAGACTGTAATGTACTCTTTTATGCTTTAGGTTCTTGGTCTTAACGGGGAGTCTGGCACACCTGTCCGAACTGTGTATAAATCTTTCTCAAATATTATAACCTGACGCCCCCTGCATCCCATGATAGCCAGCAGTTGACAGTGCCAAACTCACCAAAGTAGAACCAGTATTTCTTGCGTCTCATTTCCTCTCGGTGTGGTGATCTCAGTCAGTTTAGGTCATGTACTAATGCTAAGAATGGTTTTTGGGGAAGTTCTTTCTCCTCTTTGCACACAACCATCAAATTGGTTTTTGCTGGCAATAACTTTAGGCTTGTGAATTCTCTCAAGTGGTTTATTGAGACTGTTATCTTGATATCTTGCAGTACCCAGATTTGAAGCCCCCATCATCACCTACTCCTTCAAAGCCTCAAAGTTGACGGCAGTTGCATGTTGCTTCTTTGATGCCTCATATCTCGTCGTTCTGAATGGCATAATCTTTGTGATATCTCAACTGCAGCTTGACGTCAATATCTTCCTGAAGAGAGCATGACAGATGCACACTGATTTAACGAAAGCAATTAATGGCTCTTATTTTTTCGTCGATTACCATGGGAATGCAGAATTGCTTCTACAGTTCAGTTTTGGGCATTGCATGTATCAACAAGCTAAACATTAGTTATTTCTCAACGCTATCCATATTCCAGAACAATTTTCGTATTTTATACATACATGTTCTTGTCGGAGAGGCAGCATACGTTAAATTACCAAGATAATTAGAACAAACCAATGTGATCAAGAAATTGAGGTACTTGTAATGTGATACAAAGGATGCGATTTCCCTCAATTGGTTTGAGTGAGATAGCAGAATGCGAAAGAAAGAGGACATAACTTTGAGAGTCAAAGTAGGTAGATAATACTTAATAAATAGACTTTAGCAACATAATTAACCGACAAACTACAAAAACATAATTAACCTATGAACTTTAAAGAAGGGTATTACTTATTTGAGAACCATCCAGTGTCTAAGCAAAGGTGAAAGTGTCATTTACTCTATCATCTAACCAAATGTCTTAAGGGTAAAAAATCACTTTTAATTGCTGAAATTATTGGTGTTAATAAACAGTTACGTGTTTGAATGAAGTGCTAAAATTGTTAACAATCAATAGGTGCGTTTGGTAAAAAAAACTTGGTAAGATTGGTATTTTTTTTTTTTACTCTGAAATAACCTTTAAAATGCTTATTATAAAGATTTTTACAAGAAGGACCAATGGTGAAAAAGTTACAGAGAGGAAGTTAGATTATTTTTAGGAAATGGTATTTCATGGATTACAAAAAGATCAGCGATAAAATAGTAAAGATTTTGGTCAAACAAAAAATCATAAATTACAACAACAACAATATACCTAGTATTATCCCACACCGTGGGGTCTGGGGAGGGTAGTGTGTAAGCAAACCTTACCCCTACCTTGTGAGGACAGAGAGGTTGTTTTCAATAGACCCTCGGCTCAAGAAAGCATAAGCACCACATTAATGATAATATAGATAAGAAAGGGACAGTTAGGGGTGTCAATGGTTCGGTTCGGACGGTTATTTTCTAAAATTTGTACCATACCAATTTTTTGGTTATTCTATTATGTATAACCAAAATTAGACTTTTCGAACCCGTCCCAATCATGTTGGTTTCTCTTTGGTATCGGTATGGTTCGGTTAATTTTCGGTATTTTTTTAAAATGTCATGTAAATGTCACTAGTATAAGTAGAATGCAATAACATACATACTTTTATAAGACTTAGCAAACTATCTAGATATCTTTACTCTCCTGAGTATAGATCCATCAACTATCTACAGCAGCAGCGTAAAAGAAACTAAACAAAGATATTAACCGAGTGAAAAGATATTATCCATGCTGGAACTCAAGAATAAAGTCTATAGAAGATTAAATATTTAAAAAAATAAATCTAAATTATATGAAAGGAAACATATTCAATACATTGTAGTGTGCTACTAATCGCTAGAATAGCTTGTGTCTTGCTAGTGAGTATGTTGGAAATAATTTAGTTTCAATAGGAGTAGCATTATAGGTTTGAATTAAGATTTTGAGTTTAATTACTTGTTTGCTTGTAACCGTTTTCACAATTCCAAGGCCCAAGGAAAATTTTAATACAGTATTATTATTATTAAATTTTAAATATAAATATATTTTCACATGTAAATTTATTCCGTACTGTTCGGGACTTTTTCGGTTTATTTTATAAAATAAAAAACTTACCCTAATTATCGGTACGATTATAGATTTATATAAAAAGTTGCGGTTTTATTAAAAGAAACCTAAAAATTGGTTCGGTACAGTACGGTTCGGTCGGTTTAGTCTGTTTTTGAATATCCATTGACACCCATAGGGACAGTACCAAAAATTCATATAAAAGCAGAATAAAAACAACAAGATACTAAGGTGATCAACAATGAAAGAAAATAATGGTTAGTCATAAAACCTACTACCAACAGAAAGCGAGACTGCGTGGCAATACTACTGTTATAAACACTCTAGACTACCTACTTTACTACCCTAATCCTCGACCTCCATACCTTCCTACCAAATGTCATGTCCTCGGTCAGCTGAAGCTGCGCCATGTCTTGTCTAATCACCTCTTCCCAGCTCTTATTTGGCCTACCTCTACCTCTCCGTAGGCCCTCCAATATCAATCTCTCACATCTCCTCACCGGAGCATCTGGGATCCTCCTCCTCACATGACCAAACCACTTAAGCCACGCTTCCCGGATCTTGTCCTCAATAGGGGCCACACCTACCTTGTCGCGAATAACCTCATTTCTGATTCTATCTAACCTGGTGTGCCCGCACATCCATCTCAATATCATCATCTCTGCTACCTTCATCTTCTGGACATGAGCGATCTTGACTGGCCAACGCTCAGGTCAGCCCCATACAACACGTTGGCCTGACCACCACTCTGTAGAACTTAGCTTTAAGTTTCGGTGGCACTTTCTTGTCACACAAAACATCGGAAGCGAGTCTACATTTCATCCATCCCGCCCCAATACGATGTGTGATATCTTCATCAATCTCCATCCCTGAGTAATAAACCCAAGGTACTTAAAACTTCCTCTCCTAGGAATGACCTGTGAGTCCAGCCTCACCTCCCCTTTCCCTCATTGAGTTTCGCCACTGAACTTACACTCCAAGTATTCTGTCTTGGTCCTGCTCAACTTGAAATCTTTGGGTCTGCCTCCATACCTCTAATTGCGCGTTCACATCGTCTCGTGTCTCGTCAATCAATACAACATCTTCTGCAAATAGCATGCGCCACGACAACTCCCATTGGATGTGGCGCGTCAGTACGTCCATCGCCAGAGCAAACAAAAAAGGGTTGAGTGCCAACCGCTGATGCAACCCCATCGTAACCGAAAAATGGTCCGAGTCCCCATCCACCATCCTCACTCGAGTCTTTGCTCCATCATACATGTCCTTAATCAACCTAACGTAGGCAATATGTACAACTCTAGCCTCCAAACATCTCCACAAACTTCCCTAGGAACTTTATCGTACTCCTTTTCTAAGTCGATGAGCACCATATGCAAGTCCTTATTTCTCTCCCTATATTGCTCCATCGATCTCCTAACAAGGTGGATGGCTTCTATAGTTGAACGCCCCGGCATAAAACCGAACTGGTTCTCGGAAATAGACACACCTCCTCACTCTTAGCTCTACCACTCTCTCCCAGACTTTCATAGTATGGCTAAGCAGCTTGATACCCTGATAGTTATTGCATTTTCGGATATCACCCGTGTTCTTTTATACAGGAACCATCGTGTTCCACCTCTACTCTTCGGGCATCTTTTTCGTTCTGAAAATGACATTAAATAACCTAGTGAACCAGTCCAAGCCTGGCTTGCCCGCACTCTTCCAAAACTCCACCGGGATTTCATCTGGCCCGGTTGCTTTGCCCCTGCTCATCTTACGCATAGCCCCCTCAACTTCATCAACTCTAATTCGCCTACAATACTTAAAGTCACAACAATTCCCGAAGAGTTCCAAATCACCCAGTACAATGCTCTTGTCCCCCTCCTCGTTCAAGAGACTATGGAAGTAGGTCTGCCATCTCCGACGGATAAGTCCCTCGTCAACAAAACTCTACCTTTTTCGTCCTTGATGCACTTTACTTGGTCCAAGTCACGCACCTTCCTTTCTCGCGCCTTGGCTAACCTGAACAATCTCTTATCCCCACCTCGGCCTTGAAGTTCCTCCTACAAAGGACTAAAAATATCATAAATTAAAAAAATATAAAAAGGGTCTTGATTAACTTATGACTTTTGGTGATTTTGGTTTATTAACATTTACTCATCCAAACACTTAACTTTTACGTCGAATCAAATGAATATCATTAAAAAAATTATTTGAGTTAGAGTTAAATTGAAGTTTAAAAAGATTTGTATGAACTTTCGGTTGATAATTACTCCATCCGTTTCATATTAAATGAGGTACTTTCCTTTTTAGTCTGTTCCAAAATAAATGACACATTTCTAAATTTGGAAATAATTCAACTTTAAACTCCTCATTTTATCCATTTTACCCTTAATGAGAAGCTTTTATAACCACACAAAAGTCATGGCCCCACAAAGCTTTACCCCTTAAGTTTTTAAGACCACAAATTTTAAAAGTATTTTTTTTGCCGACTCAAACATACGTAATTTAATTTGAAACGCCGGGAGTACTACTTACTACTTCATATGGACCATATCTTCGTCTTTGGCGCCTCTTCTTGAAAATCTCTAACTGAATCTCAAAAGTCAAAACCCCAATTAGCTGATTCTGAAATTTTCGAATTTTCACTGCCCATAGATTTTATTTGAAGATTCTATTACCGTCAAAGAGGTATCCTCTAATTTCCAGCAATCTTTCTGTATATTTTCAGAGGTTAATACCTATATATGTTGTGGTTCCAGTAATTTGAGTTAAAATGTATTAATCAATGATTACTTAAATTGTCTTTCTTTCTTTGATGCTTCATTATATCTTTTTTACTGCTGCCCGAGTCTTTAATTATATGTATTTTTGTCCATTTGGGCAGAAATGTCATCAGATAAGGCCATAATTAACATCTCCACTTGGGATGGCACCATTACATCTGCTGAGTTTCACGTTGCTGCTGCTAATTTTGCTGAGCAATGGAACAATTTAGATCTAGGGTTTCCTCACTGGTCATGGATCAATTGTCCAAAGGGACCACGGTTTGCTGCTAGCAAGGTTGGTCTTTGTGCATTTGCTTTATATATGCTTTCGGCGTGTTATATATATTAATACTACTTGTATTCTGCAATTTGGGCAGGTAGAAGGATATTTATCATTGGAGAATATGATTCTTCCAGGATCCACTGAGGTCTGTCCTTGGAACTTCAGTGGAGCTATATTATTGAGAAAAATTAGCATAAGATGTTATGTACCTGTAGGACTTTGCTGATTTTTTTATCTTTTTTTATAGGAAGATCGAAATCAATGTGGTCTTGCTGGAATAGTAGATTTGAGTTGCTCTAATGAAGATGTATTTACGGATACTGCTATATTGGTATGTTACACATTTTATTTCTTGAATTAATTCTGTTTACTTGGGGAAAAAATTTATTTCATGGAGTGCTCGAGTTTCAAAATATTTATCTTTTACTCACGTGTTGGAGGTTTTAACAGGGACATTTTCTTGTTTGAACTGCTGAATTATAGCAAACTCAAC